TCATTTTTTGGCTAGCAATTGTATAGATATTAAAGACTATTCAAAGGCATGTCTTAATTAATATTGTTTCATTTTTTTATTTTTTTATTTTTTTGAATTTTCATTACACTTCATTGATTAGTTGAAAATTAGAATATTTATTTTTGCTGGTCAAATGTGGTACAGTACAATCAAACGATTCTAGAACAAATTGTGTTTTAACGAAACACAAAATGTGGGTGAACGGATGCCCAAGAAATTAATAATGTAAAAGAGACTAATTTTTGTTAGGAAAATCAGATTTTCCTTTTCCTTTTAAGAAATAATACGGCGCAACCCACGACCAAGAGCCGGGCTCTGCCGGGCTAAGGACCGGCCCAGTTGCCAATTTTGACATCAAAGTGTTAGAATAATATCAACCTTAATATCTAGAAAAATGTTACTATCCTCTTCGTTGGGAGTTTTAATCGTTGAATACACATGTAGTTAGTATGAAATAAATAATCTAACGGTTAAAACATCTAACAGGATGCAGGTTCTGTAACGAGACTATAACATTTCCCTAATATTTATAGTAACACTTTTTTAGGTTTATGCATGCATAACGTACTTTCTATACCACATTTTATTTCTTCACTGGATTACACTTGGATATTATAGATTAAAAAACAAAAAAAAAAATACTTTGATAGAATTATTAAGCCCGCTATAGAAAAAAAACACTTTGCACGGAAGGTTTTGGTACCTTAAAATCTTTTTTTAAACTTAATTTTAACACTATATTAGCCCGCTAAACTGTTTATATTAATAAAATATTATTTTAACATATATATTTATTTTTTGATAAAATAATAATAATAGTTTAATTATTTTTATCATATAATGTCATTTTTATTATTTATAACACTTATAGAAATATTATTCTTATATATATATAATGTTAAAAATTTAATGCACTAATCTTATTTATTGATATAATTAATTTAAAAATATATAAACAAATTTAAAATAAATATTTCATCATAAATGCATTATTCAATTTTCAGAATTTTATCATATCTCATAATAATTAAAAAGACATATATACATGATTTTATGACAATAATTAATATATTAAGCATAAAAAACATCAGTAATTAAATAATATTATCAATGAATTTTTTGATAGATTTTTTTTTTTTTTTTTT